TGGCTTGTTTGATCGGACGTTGACTAGATTGACGAAGTACGGCTGAGTGAAACGATAGAACCGCATTTAGATTAACATTTCGTTCTGACCTAGTCGGCTGTATCGATCTGTCCAACACTGTAGAAAAGCTTAGGAATATTCGTCCGTTACAAGACTCGAGTACACTATATTCATACTGCGACGTACCTTCGCAGTCCTCCACGTGAACGCGAGGCACCACTCCGCTCGAGAATTATCCGATCGACACCCAGGAACTAATCCTGTATAATTATGTCGGGCAGCGGGTTCTGCGCGAACCAATTCGTTCTAAACGAAAAAAAAATCTAACCTCCTATTCGCACGCCGAGCAACACAGCTCGCGTGGGTGGCGGGAATCTTCAGGAGAAGAATCAAGTGAGTGGCATGAAAATGTTTTATTAAATTTTCAATAAATTGTATTTATTGCTCAATGGATGGACGGGGATCTCGCGTTTACAAAAGAAAATAAATACTTTGAACTTACAAAAATGATACTCCGCTTTTAGCGCGGTCGGAGAGCAACGGTTATTTCAAAAAAAATTTGAATAAATTATAATAATATTAATTTAACAAAAAAAATTGCAATTTAATCGGCGAAGATACGCAAACTGGTGAAAATAAATGAAATTCAAAGTAAATTCGTAATGCGCGACTTGGCGCGTTACAATAATCAAGTCCTGGAAAACAAAGAGGACGGTGGAACCTTCGCGATTAACGTTACACCGACCTCAAGGACCTCGGGCTTCCCGCGTACGTCTTCCTAACCAGACGCGTACAATTTGCCAGTTTCGCGATGAAACTACTGCAAGGAAAACCTGTCCAATTTCAAAATTTACATTAACGCGCAACTGCCTCTTTTCGAGGTTCGACTGTAAGTAGATGGCCCCTCGAAGTAGATCTAACATCGCCGCTCGACTAAAGCAAGCTATTTTTACTGTAACTTAGTATCTGAAATTTGCTTATTAAAAAATTATACCTAGTCCACGGGTCTATTAAGGTCTCTTGATAAAATAATTAATAAAAAAAAAGTAAATGATACATAAAAACATGTCCGTACTAAAGATACAAATGATCAAAGCAACTTGTTCCCAAGACCGACAGGTATGAGGTGAAGAGAGGGTAGAAAAGAGAAAATAAAATTTCAGCCAATAACTGTAATATTAACGGAACGATAACCAAAGCCAGACTCGCTTTTTCAATCTCATTAATAATATCGATAGCTCGGTGAATAATACATGAGATTATATTTCGCCCCGTTAGGTTAGGTTATATAACGGCACGTACGATACGGGCTTTAAATAAAATACGCTTCTCCCTTTGAAAGCCGATGGCAGTCGCGCAGCGCACACCCTTTCCGGCTGGGGATGTTTCGCAGGGGTTCCCTTAAACTGCCGATCGAATTCCCCGCGTCGATTACTAAGGGGATGATATAGAGATACACAGGGCTGGGATGGGGATAGCACGGTGCAGCCAACCCCGAGAGCCAATCTTAAAAAGTACGACGTTAAATAACATCGCCGCAAGAACGTGCATCGTACAAACCCTATGAACATAAAACATCCCGACTCACTGCGCCAAAGACATTTCTTTACGAGATTACATTTGATCGTAGAAATTGCCTACTATCAAATTGATCGATAACGTTCCACGCCTCGCGACAGCTGTATCAGCGGCCTTATCGAACGCATGCCATTTCTTGCTACACCGTAGCTCCGCCGATGCAGGCATAAGGGACATGTGGAATGTGAATTAGCGAGGGAGGAAAGTCAGGTAAGAGGGAGGAAAGACATAAAATATATTCATTAAGTTGGCAACAATGGGGAAGAACTGTATATCTCATATGAAAAAAAAAAATTGAAAGAATTTTTCGTCGTGTGATAAACTTTCGTTATTTCATTTATCTCTTACTTGGCAATTTATATATGTACACTCAAACCTCTCCGTAAGCAACAGCTCGGGACAAAATCGCTTATACGGAGGTTACATGAGCAATACTCGTGTCTGCCGTTACGATCCAACTCTACGTTTGACTCTCGTCGCTATAGGTCGCACTCGAATAGATACGTATATACTATAGTCTTTCGAACACACATATATAAGGGTGGAAGTAGGAAAGTATCTTCTAAGCTCGGCTGTGGACTACTGAAAGCTGTTACTTAGAGAGAGGTTTGACTCTACAGGGTGTTCGTTATGAAACGCACTGTAGTAACATCGTTGCATTCCTTGTCAAATTCCAAAGAATACGTGTATTTTCATTTTTTATTTCATATATCAAAATTTCGAGATAATCAAGGTTGAAGTTGCAGTAATGCGACCAATCAGAAAGTGTTTAAACGGAGCGTAGATGACGTCGCGAGCCAGCCCGCAAGGCCTGCTTACAGTAGACCAATAACACTAAGAGTATCGTCTCTTGTATCTTACTCAATTACATGCAGATAAACAGGGACACTACGACGATAATCTTAGTGTTATTGGCCTAGTGTAAGCAGGCCTTGCGGGCTGGCTCGCGACGTCATCTACGCTCCGTTTAAACGCGTTCTGATTGGTCGCATTACTGCAACTTCAACCTTCATTATCTCGAAATTTTGATATATGAAATAAAAAATGAAAATACACGTATTCTTTGGAATTTGACAAGGAATGCAACGATGTTATTACAGTGCGTCTCATAACGAACACCCTGTATAGAGAGAAAAATGTATAGTCGCGATTAGATACTGGGACAATGGTTAAGTGTTTGGACAAGAAATTTCTAGTGACAAAGACAAAGGTTCTAGTAAGATTTACAAAGTCAACTAGTGACTTTCAATGCCGATGAAGAATTTTAAAAGAATTTTTAATATTGCTACTAAAATTCATTGTTGTTCAAATACTAACCGTTGCTCCACTTATTTTATGGTGCTTTACGAAGTTTCTTTACGATGCGTGCATTTTGCTATGTTTATTTGTAAAAAGATATCTGGAGGTACCGAATGATTTCCTACAGGTATATTCGGTCTGGTATCTTCAATGCACCTAGACTCGTTACTCACGGGACATTACGAAGTCAACGGTTCACTTGAGAGCTTGTAAAAAATGCATGCTGTAAATTGCACATTCAAAGTATCGTTCTCATGAAAGCGTCAGTAGCATCGAGAGACAAAGTGTCCAGGAAGACTGGTAAGCGTACACGCATATATGAAGATTGAGTAAGATTTATCAGTGGCATGTAATAAAACATAAATAAAAAATATTATTGTAAATCTTAGCCCCACCCTTAGGCAAAGTTTATCATTAGCAACGGCAATCCGCTAATTAATGGTAATCAATGGATCCGACTTCATTTGTCATTGGTCGGCGTTAATTCACTTTGGCAAAAAACCATTGAAATTGGGAAATTTTCTCAAGATCAGACTGGACCCAATTATCAATCTTGGTCCACCTTTGGATACCGATAGACTTGGCAGCCAAGATTGGTCCAAACTCGGGTCGCCTTTCGATCCTAGCTGAGCATCGGTGACCGTTGCTTGGCCACTCTACACTAAGTGGGATTCGTCCCTCAGGATTCGCGTTAATTTCCATCGTGTCCCTGGAGTTCGTTTATAGGTTAGCTATAAGAAAAATTGATGATCCACCAGCAGAGGCCGTCATCGCTGTTGAAAATCTCTCATCTCTCGGGGGCTGTTCCTTTAGTCATTTTCTTGTCATTTCTTCCTCATCGTATAGACTTCTACCCTCCAAAAGAGCCCTGAGACTCTGGCTGATTTACTCACGAAACATCCCTCCGACAAGGGTGGTCGAGTGGAATTTTTCATCGTTTTAACGTCGCGCCGGTTTTATCGCTACCGAGCCGGGCACGTCCAAGTCACCCACACGGAAAATCGAATCTATCCATATATAATTTTTCATACTGTCCTGTCTACTTTCATAGCGAGTTTTCGCGGACAGTACGAGTAAATCGTTTCAGGCCGTCTACTAATTTTTATTTAAATCCAGTAACTCTTGGATATGTGGATACACCATGGCGTGTATCGTGAAGGGGCAGGAAAGGACGGTAAGATGGAATATCAAGGAGGAAATAAAATAAAGTATCCTTCCGTCATCAAGCTACTTAGGGAGCCACGGTTATATGGAGCCCTTGGCGAGGGCTGCCAGCCTGGATATAATCTGTAAATCGAGGAGAAAATTGGAAAAGTTCAGCGATTCCGTGAATGCTACATTAGTCCTGCACCTCGACGCCATTTTTCTCACGCTCTCCTAATGCTGCCTTGAAACTCCGAACCCACCCTTCGGTAGAACGAGACTATTTTTTATGACTTTTCGAAAGTCCCTTTAGCACGATGACCCTATGTAGTCAGCGACCTACCCGTTGATCGTAAATTGCATTGCGAAAATAATCTACTGCGGATGACAATTTTCACTCTGCTGTCCAATCGCTAATGGTCTTTGCGATTGAGGCTCCGTGTGTTTGTGTGTGTGTGTGTGTGTGTATCTGCCCCTGCAGCAATTTCCGGAATAGAAATTCTGTTTCCGAAAATGTGGACATTGTCTCTGAGAAGTAATCGCGGTAGACAGCAGTATGCGGGTATGTGGGAAGGCTGATAGGTGGACGAGGAGTCTCATGGATACACAGATTTGGCCAAGCTTCTTCGTCGCTTTCATGAATATGGAATCATGGAGATTCGGGTTCCGTTACATCGTGCAGAAGAAGCTCAACCGAACGTAATCCTGTTTGACGAAGATCCTCGGAAATGTCCATGGAAATCCTTTGCGATGACGAGATGCATTATGAGTTATATTTTTACTCGATTGCGTCTTTTTCCATCCTTTTATTTTTTCCTGAGACAATAATCACCATAGGAATTTTCTGATATACTCAATAAATATGAAATTTCGTATTCATATAAGATTCGAGAGTTATACGTGTTTTGTGTTGTTTTCAATATATGCCAGTTTATTTATAATATTCGATATAGTCGATATATCATTGTTATATGGTATTACTAAATTTTTGTATAACGTCCAATTAAAATCTCAATTAAAAATACAATAATAGATATCGCATAGAGTATAACTATTACATAGATAGTATTATAAAAATTCTTTAACGTCAACCGATAGGTCACATTTTTAGGTATTACTTTACGTCTAATACCTACGTAGTCTCCAATAATTTTATTCGTAATACCATTTTCAGTAAGGATCGACAATACTTTATTAACCATCGGAAGAGCATAGTATCCTTTAAAAAATACAAATCCTTTCCAATGCGTCAAAAGCGTCTCCTCGACTATGACTAATTCGCTAAATTTCTTAATAAACCACAATCCAATATAGGTCTCGATGACGCAACCAATTTTACCATTTTTCCCACCTTCCAGAAGTCGTTGTACGCATAATTGCTTGTTTTCGAGTATCTTCGCACGAGCCTGCAATCTTGTGTAATAATTACTGTGGTTATTCTGCTCATGATTATGACCAAAGCACATATTATAATGTCCTTCCCCTAACAAGAGCGAGTATTCGTTGCTTTCCAATTCTCGCAATGTCTTGATATCATTCGGAACGATTTCGTATATCAGCGAACTTGTCAATAAAGATTGAAGGTCGGTAGACATAATGGCGAATAATACTGTGAATGACATTAAAGAAAGCTTAGCTGACCACCATTTTGGATAAAGTGGTACTCCTGATCCTAGAAGACTCCCTAGGGTTTTTAATATTCCTGTAGCAGGATGATCCCTAGGCACTACCGACAGTCCGAGCCAAATAGCAGCCAGTAAACAACAACAGACAATTGTCAATTCCTTCACGCCCACGAAACTATTCACAACGCTTACTGCGCCGTTTGATAATATCATTACAGATAGAGTTGCATAATTATAGGGTCGAGTCATTTCCGCGAAACGCGAGAATTGCTCGTTATACGTATGAATGTAGATGCTATTGGCAGTGAGGTCATGCTTGTGCTCAAACAACTCCACAACGACGCCTATGGGTTTACCATTACTCGATTTTCCATTGAACAATTCGTTGAATCGTGGTAAAAATTCGATATCTAGATCCAATTGTTTGGATATTATGTTTATCATTTGTATATCGGGTCCATCCATATTATTTGCCTGACCAGTTGTCTTGTCTCTGTCGAGATACACATACGGCGGATTGTGTGCAGCAGCAACTTTCAACTTGAAACCGTTAAGTTTTCGGATATTGTTAGGAAATATGGTGATGTTATTGATTTCTGAAAAACTTGAATAAATTCGTGTGAAATGATCATAAGTATGTAGAGAAACGTGACAACCATTCACTAATGTTAAAGTCAGAATAACCAAACGATAAGCTCGTGGTCCTTGTAGTTCTCGAAGAAGATCTGCCATTTTTGTGCAAATTAATTTTGATTGGAGTATCAATATCAAAGGGGCACGTGATCTTTCATAATTGAGATCTTTTATCTTATTACTTAGAATTTCTGTATCCTGAGTCGATGGGCATCCTTCACTGCTGTACCATAGAATAAACAACGTCGAAAAGGACAATTGATTCACTGCTGGCTTTTTATTTCTTCGAACGATGTAACTGCTTTTCTTGACGATTGAGGATGCTACGTCATCGTTGGAATTGTTAAAGGTGCTCAGATCCAGGATAGTTGTGTACGGTTGAACTTCTTCAATAATTGTACTGATATATCCTGTGAGGCACATTGAATTCTCAGTTAAATTATTAAACTCGTATACCGACACTGATAGATACATAGCGAAATTAAGATGCAGGATGGCCAGATAATAAATTAGCCACAAATTCATTTTGATTTTAATTCCACGATTCCTGATGGCAAACTGTGATAAGGAGCTGCGATTCTTGAAAGTGTAGCTTGACGAAGTATGATTTACGAGCTCAGAACAAACATGAAGATTCTAAGTAAACAGAAAAAGTACATGACGACTATTTATTACAGAGAAAAGGAGAAACTTTTGAAAAGAGCGATAGTTGTCACTTTTGATAAATCGCACGTGGTTCTCCATCATTTATTTCTCATATAACGGACGTTAATTGATCGAACAGCCAAAGAATTTCAGGGTGGTAGAAGTAAAGGGATAAAGTAAGAACCGGAAGTGGCCCAAAAGGCGTAGCTGGTTGCCGGAAACGGTTGGAATGAAACTTCGTTCCGGAAATTTCAGAGTTACGGCTACACGAGCTACGGTTAATGGATCCATCCAGGTCTGACAGGATTAGCTGGCCTCGCGGAGATGAAAGTGTCGATAACTTTGTAATTCGAAAGACGGTAACCCTGTTACCGTTTTGCATAACTAAAGTGGTAACCTCCCGAGCAAGAGGCCTCTTCGGCAGGATATCATGAGAACCAGTGACCCGGTCACTGGCGAGAAGAAAAAATTCCGTGATTACTCCTACATGGTTTTTCTTGATAAATAAATGCCACTGGTAGAGGCCCGCAAATTAAATTACGTAGGTAAACGATTGTAAATTAGAATCAAGAAGGAAATGGATACCGTGAAACTGAACGGACTAAGAAAAGAATATTATTCGAATTAAATAATTTCTAAAATAAGTAATCAAAGTCTGCTCTCGGATCGAGACGAAGTAACGGGAAAGTGAGGAGAAGCTATTCGATCATTCCTTAATTAATCGGTTGGACGATCCGATTCGAACGAATAAAATCACTAGGTTCATTCTGCAACGAAATTACCCGAGCTCGCTAACGAGATTACGTAAACGAGGGAAATCCGCTAATCAAGCTCGATGCCAGAAATCTTGGTGAGATCTCTCGTGATCGGTTTAGTTCACGTGGCCACACTGGAATGGGGATGTAATATATAGGGAAGGTCCACGTGTCAAGCGTCGTGACCCAGGACTCGCGCTTTGTATCGATAACGTGACGCTGTTAACGGCAGAGCATAATAAGCTCGGCTACTTCGTTATTTTAATTGGCTTTAAACAGTTTTCAACGGCGATTAATCCATCGAGAATTGACGTAGTTACAGATAAACGTCAAGGGCATGAAGGGTAATCTATTCGAAGACCACGGTATATATATATATTATATTACGTATTAAATTCCATATATTATGCGTATGTGCATGTACATATATATACATTTACATATATGTACATAATATTAGTCGAGGTGAGTATATCAAGCCACTATCGAAACTGTCAACCAATGAGAGCCACAAATTCATCATGGCGGTCTAAGCAGAGCGCGACCATTGATTAACCGTTCGCCGCAGATGTTTGACATAATTTAACAACTGGGACATTAATATCTATAAACGATAAATTAATGTCAGCCACTCTGGTCCGGTTTCGCCGGGTGGCTCGGGTCACTGTCACAAATCACGATCAGCGCTGTTAAACGCGACACGTTACTGCCGGATGTCGACCGAACCAAACCAATCAATGCCGGCACTTCCGGTATCCCATGAAAATCCTACCGTGAAATCGTAACCTGTAATTCTTCGATGCTCCATTGCTTCTGCCTGACCAGCACAGATCAGTCATTTAACATTTCTTGAATGCGCATCTGACTTGACCCAATCTTACCTAACCTAACCTAACCTAATCTTCACTAGACCAGGATTTTCTAGCTGCTCTGCAGATGTGTGGAATCAGGGACGAGCGCACAATTTTCCCTTGGATATTTGCATTTTAACGAGGCCGTTATAAATTCGCGAGTCATTTTTGCACGAGCGTTAACCAATGTTAAAAATGTTTTGGAAAGGGGAAAATAGAGAATTTTGCATGTGGTACAACGGCCATTGTCAGCCGCTGACACCTAACGATATACTATGTATGCGTACAGTACGTAACATGTGGACTGTCTGATCGATATTTTATCGCGAATGCAATTTTGAAAAAATATTGGAAAAATTACATTGGTATCACAGGCACATTTGGGAATGTCGATGGTCTTGTTTCGCGAGCAAGTTAATAATTCTCTAGTATCCGTGAAAATAAATTTCCACAGTTCGTGCGCCGAGCAATTTCGTTATCTTCCGACACGAAATGTATACGACTTTAATGCGCATTAATTAACGTCGCTGGACGTCGCAATTAATGGAAACCGTGGCACCCTTCTTCCACCTACCATGTACATACATCTCACGATCGTGTCTCCCTCTCAACACATAGCCCATCCTACATGGCGATCCGGTCGCTTGTAAATGCTCTGTCGGGATTCGACCCACATTAGCAATATTCCGGCCATTAGTGACGAAATTAAATTAATTATGCCCACGCCTAATTATTCATTAATGCCCAGATTGTTGACGATGGTGCGAGGTCGTTAACTAGCCAGTGCTCTCGCCACCTTGGGACGCTTGGACATTTCACAAACGTCCTTACTCCGAGCTGCGTTATAATATGGTTTCTCTAGCCGACATCCCTAGAGAAATTCACGCCACGGAAAACGTCGGGCATTGCCCTTGCAATGCTGTCAGTGAGACCAACAGCGGTACATCGAATGTGTCGCAGTAACCACTGAATATATGACTATGTAGTGTGCACTACCAAGATCCTGAAACTGTATATAAAAATTGTTGTACTGACCAGAAATAATGTCAACTTTTAAGGAACACGAGAAAATCTTTATCTATGTTATTACTAAGCCACCTATACACTTCTTTCCCCTAGCAATTTCATCAGAACGTAATTGGCGCATTTTGCTCCTGGTTCCTCCTCGAAGATTCGCTGAAAGCCAGCAAGGGGACGGTGGATATTTCAGATCTAGCGATGTACAAATGCTTCAGGCTATGATGAATCACCCGGTCAGGCAATCCATTACGGGACATCAACGTCCAGCATTGCCAGAGGGTTTCACGACCATTCTACTCTACGTTTTTCCATGCTCACACTGGTATTCCCTCAGTTTATACTTCCTGAAAGCTAAAACATACCTCAAAACGTCCTCAAGATTTTAGAGATTCCAAATATCTTCCTTTTTTGCGACTTACGTCTCGCGCATTGCAAACTCCCGGTGTTTAATGTTCGCAATAAGTATCTTACTATGTTTTCTCACATTGCAAAAGTTCTTACCTTGCTTTATGACCTTATGCAATGTCGTACATGCACGTACAAATGTATGCGTATTTTTCTGACGTAATACACGCTTCAGAACACGTGCGGCTACATCGATTCTCAGGATTTCAGCGGATTCCTCGCCGAGAGAAGAAATAAAGTTCTTCTCCGCCAAAGCAGTCGGCCACCGGCACGCACCCGGCCTCGTCGCATTTTATTAGCGGGGAGTATTAATGCGTTTATGGGATCGTAAAGATGTCGTAACTTTCTCTGAGGATGATAAGGAGAAGAAGGAGGGAAAAATGACAGAATAAAATGAAGGGAGACAGAAAACAAAAGAAAAAAAGTAACGAATGAAGAATAAAGAAAGAAGGCAGAAAGACTTACACGAGAGAACATTTCAGTCAATAAGAGTCACAGGATCTCCACAGCTCCCCGACATGATCCTTCCCAGTCTAAGCTCGATACACGTACGGCTCCTCACATTACAAGACTGAAACGACGAATTAGCCAAAGTTCGTCGTTATCCTTGCTCCCAGGATCCTCACATATAATGACCATTCCTCCATCCTGAACACGATCTTCCCGGTACGTATATATCAGCTACGAGCTAGTCTCCCATGTGACATGCCACCAGAGCGATGAGGTTAGAATCAATCTTTATTTCGGTAAAACTACAGAATAAGATTCCTTCTTGAAAGACTAAATGTAAAAAAAAATTAAACACTCCACAGCTAACCTCAAGAAAGAGTCGTGTTCTGCATTTTAGCCTTTATTTTTAGTGTATAATATTGTCCGTGTACATACGCTCGAATCTCTTGCATTATCAAACAACGTTACCCCATCATAATTTCCATCGCACTCCAACGAATCTTTCAATTTTCCCAGGGATCTATGGCGATAGCTCTGCGCCACCGGCAACTTTATTTCTAAACTGAAGGCGAAGTTAAACGCCACGTCGGTTTTACGAAATCGATAGATGGCGCAGGCATGTACCGACTGTGGACATAGTTACTCTTAAGAGTATAGTTACAGGCGCCGTGTATGCAAGTAGAAACGTGCAGGCGCATACTGCCGGCGGTATTCTAGCCATCAGGTTAAGTTGCATTTATTACGCAATTACGCGGAACATACATTTATAAGTTCACCTAGTAACGCTTGATTTATGCATGATGCCAAAGGTGCTGAGTGTAAGGTTGAGAGGCGAAGTTGAACTAAAGGTAAGGATAAACTTCGTCACGGATACCCAGAACCATGAAGAGACGTTAAAGGACGTTCCTAGAAGGCGTAGAGGTCCCCTTGGCCTAGCGTCTCTGCCAGTCCTGAAAGTTTGAGCTTCCCAGTCTCATATAAATGTAGATTGCGCGAACGAATGAATCCTCGGGGTGAAATTATCTTGACGGGTCACGAGGAATCCGGTTTCTTCTCGCAACGATGCGTACACCTTTTCCTGGTCCTCCAGTTTGCCCCTTCGTCTCGCGGAAAGTTTATTCGAATGGCAGTTTAATAGGGAATGGAACTGTAATGTAGAATATCCAACTAGGAGACCTTGTCAACCTTATACTTAAAATCTTCAGTGTCCACATCACGACACCATTCGAGATCAAGGTCACAGCAAACTGTCAGCAGTTCTCCAACCTCCCGTTGACGATCCCAAGAGCGAAGACCCGAGTTTCTTTACGTTCCTTGCTTATTTGTTCATCATCAATTCTTCGCCTTGGCATCCCGGATCAAGATTATCTCCGCAAGTACAGTGCGTCCTCATTCTCATTATCATGAACCCTCTTGGACGAATATTCATCTAGTGGGAGTCCCATCCGTAGCCGAGAGAAAATTGGCCTGCTGCCAACGGTAATTGCGAATCCGTCTGTGGATGCGTTTCGCTTTGGCGTTCGTGCGGTTGCGATAATTACGGGGCTCTACTGTCTCCCCCTCTCACACTCTCTGATCTGCCACCCCTTAATTCCCCAGTTCCCCTCCAAAACCGCCGCCCCTCCCCCCTTCCTCCCTGTATCCTCCCACACAATCAAAGGTCCCTTTTGCGAACAAAAGCTTCACCGTCTAGCTGATCGTAACGGGTTACCGCAACCCTATCGCGCTTTACTCGCGAATTCGGCGCGTATGATGCTCAACGCTATATGAAATTGGTATATGCATCCCAAGCAGCAACGAGTATCTATGAAAATCCCAAAATAGTTTTAAACGTTCAAATAAGGTTATATCCAATAAAGAACATCGCTAAGGTATTGGACGAATATATAATTTACAACATCGAAGGCATAATATTGCGTGACATCTTATCAATGTTGCTTACTCGATGTCTAAATGGTGATATCATTACAATATTTCTTCGAGGAGATTTCTATTTGTTATTTTTTTATACTTTATAATATATTAATAAAGTTATATTATATGAAACGCGAACTACACGAAATAGTGAGGTGCAGCGACTGGTGCGGTCAAGTACGACCATGTTTCTATGTCTATGATGTGCTATAGATATTTAAATGTCCGCTTAATTTCAATCCACTATATCATGAGCTGGAACATCTAACTTGACCCACGGTTCAAAAATCACTGTTAAAATTTTACTTTATATGTGTTTTAAGACCTTCGTAAGGACAGCAGAGCCCGACGATCGGTTGTCATAAGATCAAATGCATCTGCAATTCACTGGCTTGGAGATGCCTTAGTACAGATCACTTGTGATATACCACTTACATATTTTATTTTTCAGAAAAAAATTTGTTTCATTTCTATTATCTATTATCTACATATATCTTCAGTTTATTTATTATCTATTATCTTTATTTTCAGTTTCTATAATATGACTGAATACGTACACCTGATAAAATGCAAAATCTTGTAATATAAATATCGAATATGCATAGAAATAATATTTCACAAATTTGCTGTAGACGATTCTATTGACGAATACGTATTGTTTAGATATCCTATGAACGGTATGGCAATATCTACTGTTAATGTTGTACATATTGCATTTGGCAGGAAGTTTGAATATTATATCGACGTGCACACAACGTCAAAGTTTAAATTGGGATTTTATATAGATATACTTACGGATATGTGTAACATTACTGTAACGTTATACGGATGTAAAATTACTACTTGGAATAGGTCAAAACCGGCATTCCGATATTGCTGAAAATCCCAGAAGCAATGGCAGCTCGAATTTGCTTACAATTAGTCGAGCTGAAAAGGGGGCGAAAATCGGGGGATTTATCGCTCGTTTAAGTGCGGGATTTACTACCCTTGAATTATTGCTGAGTGTTTTAAAAATTCCATTGCCTCCATTGCAAAATTACCATGGTTACTTAATACCTTGTGGTGCGAGGAACATTTCATGAAAGTATCTGAGGATTTTTGTCTAAAGGATTTTCGCGGATTAATATTTTAGATTAGTGCTTGTTGTTTACAATGACTGCTTTTATTAATTCTCTTGGATCGATATTATTACACATGTATCTGAAGTCAGTATACATTATTCACTGATATTACATTGGGCATGTTTGCTCTTACATTTTTAAATGCTTTAGAATTCCTTGCAACTCTATGTTACGTTCCTTTGCAAGTAGCAATTTTAGATCCGTAAAACGTTACAGTAACGTTACATATATCCGCAAGAATATCTATGCAACATTCCAATTTAAACCTTGACGTTGTCTGTATGTATACTCAGGGTGTCCCATTTTAAGTTAGACACTGCAATAACTCGAAAACAAGGACTTTTCGGAAAAAATGTTTGAGGAAAAAAAGTTGTCGGGCTCGAAAAGGCCATGTAGTGAGATACCTGAATTTTTGGCCTTGGGCCCAAGTCCATCTTTTAAAATGAGAATTCCTATTTTTTATTACAGATTCGTATTATATGAACCAAAAATAAGAAAGTTTTGTTCTTGAATATTTTTCGATAAACCCTCTGCAACAGACGCAAGAGGCCCTCGAAGTTGGATTTTGAAATACGTTACAAATTCCGTATTTTTGTTAATGATAACTAATAATAGTAATATGGACTGGCGATTTGATAATCTGAATTAATGTTGGGCCACGCGACTGGGGCTCAATCAGGTCCAAAATTCATTTAAACAATTTTAATTCATATTAAAATCATTTTAAAAAATGATAATCCTGGCGCGCGTTAAAGTCAATCATGCGTGAATTACGTGTCTCATAGAGATCCTTTTTTATTTTCCACCGATCTCTTATCGTACAAAGATTTGTGAATAGTATACATATTATGCAATTAGGGAGAAAAAGTGGGAAAAAGCACCTCGGAATTGTGAGAGGCAAGGGAACTCACAAAAAACAAGCAACCTGAAATTGTAACTTCTGACGTCAAGTTCAAAACCAGTGACCTCAACAACCCCCTCACACCAGGTTTCATATAAATTATGTAAAGTTCTAAAGTTTTGGTCCCTGTATTGAATCCGCCATTTTGAATGTTGAGTTTTTTACTTGAAATTCGATATCAAAGACTTCAACAACCGTCTTATATCAAGTTTCATAAAAATCCAATAAAATCTGAACTTTTGGCCAGTTTTTTAGCTTCTATCCCACTGTGTATTGGCTGGGTCGTTCATTGATTTTGTCTTAATTGGCAAGATTAACACCCTGTAGTTTCAATTTAGTCAGATTATCAAATAGCCAATCCATATTACTATTATCACTAACTAAATAGGGGAATTTGTAACGTATATATTTCAAAATTCAACTTCGAGTGCCTTTTGTGTCTGTTGCAGAGAGTTTATCGAAAAATGGTGAAGAACAAAACTTATTTATTTTGTTTCATAGAATACGAATCTGCAATAAAAAAAATATGGGTTCTCATTTACAAAAATGGACATAGCATGAAGTTAATTCTTTTGCATATTCAAAATTTTTGGACATATTCTGGACATATGTATACAAACGAATATGGGTATCTAGAGGGTATCGAATGCTGTGTGGGCAACTGCTACAAAACTTATCGTATATCGTATTGTATCTAATATATCGTTTTATTAAATAGATGAAGTCGAAAAATGTATATGGATGTTGTATATTATGACGACACCTTTTAACGGTGACGCACAAATAAATGGCACCGCGAGAAATAATTAATGAAATACTAAATTATTGGGCGCCAGGTATAACCAGAGTTACACCGCTGTCTCCTAAGGACACCCTGGCCAGCTCTTATGCGGTGGGGTCCTGGGTCTGGGAGACAATAATCAAAATCTGAAAATTAGGGAGGTTCACTCTAAAAAATTACTGGAAACGACAAACTATCGGAACCAAAATCCGGGGACGGATCTGATTTATTTTAAATAGTAAATATAAGAACAAGATGGTGAAATACAAAGGATAAGTACAGAAAACTGACCGAGATGATGCATAACACCCTGGGATATTTACCCGAACGATATTATACAATAATGTTCCCGCTGGAACAACGCAACATAAAATACGATATAACAAACGGTACGGTAACGATAATAAGCGGTACGATATTGACTCACGCACCCATGTGTTAGGGAGACGATTCCACGAGACGTGGACTGAACGGTTAGACACAAAACCGGAAAAATTGAAATAATGAAATGAGAGACCGATCTCCTGTTTGTCACCAGATTAGCTAACCTTGGACCCTTAGCGGTCAGGAAAGCGCAGGATGACGCGTAAGAGTACGTCGAACAGAAAAGATCGGTTGATCCCGTGAATTAAAACAAATAGCCAGAATACCCCTGAGCGTCACTCACCGTTGTCCAGTATCTCCTACTATTGCCAGGAACACACTCTCCTGGATTATAGTCCCTCAAACGGATCACGATACGATACAATAAATACAAAAAATCGGTAGAAAACGATAGCACGTCTATCCCTAAGTTTGGCCATGCCGTGAGTGACGCTACAAATTTTCAAAATCGGGAACCTTCCTGAGAGCGCACTGTAATACCACCACCTGGTCAAATCAGGTTCGCTGTTACATCGGCTCCGCTAGCCGCCTCGCGATGTTCAATTGTTTTAACGATCCCGGTAAAATAGATCCTGGCATCTTGCTACGATAGGGTGGCTGCAGTGCCGTTTCCGGAAGGCGGGGATCACATCCACCTCTACTCCCTCGATATTCGGCGCCACGCCGCTTCTGCAACTCTTGTATGCCCTTTGCTTCTTAAGACGCTCGCCGCTTGCTTCGCGTAGTTGAGCCACCAGGTTGTGCGCTCCGGTCTTAACGTCACCTCTCCTCGACAGCGTTACGCCAGGCCCGTAGTTGGCTCTCTCTCGGGCCCCGTCTCACTACCAATTGCGTAGAATCCTCTCGGATCCGTTTAATAAACTCAAAAACAAACGAAACGTTCCACACAGGGAAATAAATACAAATTCTTAAAATAAAATCAGTCCAACGCCACGCGAAACGCTCCGCAGCCCATCCGGCCCCACGACGTAACCGAATTCGCCTAATTTTGTGACGTGTATCAAAATGCTACGTCACAATATATATACACACACAGGGTTAATCAGTAAAAACGCACCTGAAGTTAACCCGTCCATTTGATTTGTATAGTAGAACCATGTTCAGGTGGTGCGTGTCTACTGAATAACTCTATATATCAACTATAGGTATGCAATCAATGTATTTCAACTCTCGTTCAACATCGGTGTAAAAAAGGCTAGAAAATGCAGAATCACTTTTGTCTTAAGTTACAGTAAATATCTTTGAAGAAAGTCGCTCCATAAAATTTAAATAATTCAAAGATGGTTTAAAATTTCAATAATTATATCCATGGTTCTGTCTAATTCTGAGAGATAGCAAGACAATGAAAAATTATATCAAGCGGTGGAAATAAATATTTTATATACTTTTGTTTTTACGATCTTAAGTATTTTCAGACGCTGTACTACGTGTTAATAGTACAAAATTTCGATTAAGTTATCCTATGGCGTTAACCTGTTTCATTTATAGCGTGCACTCTGTCAGTTAACTCAATTTAAGCTTTCATGCTGAAAAAGTCGCCGTAGAGTATTCTAGAGTATATAAAATTCTGATATTAACGCCTGTATAAAATTGCCATAAGAACTTATTCTCGTTTTAACATAATCAACAGTTTATTCCTACATGCACTTGAAACATAGCTAAATGTCCATTTACAGTGGGTTCACGCTTGCCTCAGACTGCTCGTACATGTTGGTAAATTCGGTGAACTGGATCTCTGATTGGTCAGATTCTTAAGTCTTTCCAACTACAGGTACAGATTATATATGCAAGGTGGTTCACTTAACTGGAACCTAAATAATTTTTTTAGATTGAGCCAAACTTGTTTAACTACTTGATTTTTTTGTTTAAGTTAAACGACTTCGAATATTAAACGGAATAATAGATGAAATGGTATGTAAGGAAAAACCTATCAAAACCAAATGGGATGTATAATTAAAGTACACTTAGGTCTATACTCTTATAGTTTCTTTTAAAGTGGTCTGGCGATGATAATTATAATAAGAACAGGGAATCATGGGTTAAGTAGATAGTTAAAAAAATGCCAAGAGTTTTGTGAAAAGAAAATCAGTGAAAATATAAAATAACTTTGAGATTCAAACCAAAAATCATTATATTCTACTGTACGAAAAAGAAGATATTAAATTTTAAAATTATTTGCTTTTATAGATTGCGTAGATCTATATAGTGGAAATTGAAACTTAAATTTTTATACCTCAGAAACTCAGATGGTAAATCATCTTCAAATTTTATATAAATAAAGATTTAATTATTGTCTAATAAATTTTAAAAATTTAGAATTGTATCTTGAATTCGATGTTACCACCAAACCACCTTAGCTAAAAGTGTCATTAACCACCTAGGGGATAGTAAAGAAAGCCAAAGTACCCTTTAGTTAAAGAGACAATCTAAGAGAGAGGTATGAGTACGAGCCATGTTATTTATTGTGCACAAAGTAGTTAAATAACGTTTGAACATTGTAATGAAATTCTTGTTTTAATAAAGTGTTGATACATCTAGGTTGAATCAACATGTTTATCAGGACAAAGAAAATATGTTTAATAAGAAATGTAGATTAATTCACTTTGAAAGACATATTTACCTGGTCTGACACATGACAGATATCTATTTTGTTAGAAATGCTGAAGCCAAACATTAAAAAAGAAAAGGTGAATAATGAGTAGATATTTAATCCTACTATATGATTGAACAACCCATCTTACAAGATGTTTGTCATCAATTATCTCAATCTGTTATCTTTACAACTATAGATAAATTACTATTATTTTTTGCAATATACGTACGAAGGGTAATATTGACCAGGAAAGATAATTAGAATTTGCAACACTTCATAAGCCGTAACATAAATAATTTATTGAAATAAAATTTACCAAGTTTATAACAACTGAAATTGAATATTATTTCATCTTGTTTCGCTGACTCCTTCTCACGCCTATTTTAAATGAAAAAAAATAGTTATTAATGAGTGATAAAAGGAAAATGAAAATGTAAGAAAAAAGTATTTACCGCTTTGTGTAGGTTTATTTTTTGAAGGACTACCCTTTTCCTTTCCCACATTTCGGCCTTGCGAAGGATAGAACATTGCAGGCATCCTCTCGAAACAGGAAAGCATTGGCGTAACGACAACTTTATCCAAAAGAGGCCATGGTGTATTGGGTATTGTACGAAATACTTCATCGGCATAAAGAGAATGCAAATCAAGGACCTTTTTCCTGCAATTTTATAATTTAGTATTATTTATATAAAATAGCTGAAATTAAATATATTTAAAAACTGCGATTCTCACCCTGAAGTTTCTATCTCCTTATATATCGTGGCGAAGGCTCCGTTTCGCAATGTGTGTCTTAAAAGGTAACGCCCAGGTTGCAATTCAGATAAAGTATGTATCACATTGTGGAGCAGGACCAATGAATCTTCTACTTTTACGTTATACAGTCTTTTTAATTCATTGTTTATCGATATGGCCGTACGTTTCTCTAGCTGCAAAATTTCTTTGGATTGCTCCGATATTCTTGCTATGTGACGAACATCAAAAGATATGAAATTATTATGTTAATCATTTCATTGAATTATTTAGACGTATATATATATGTAATTAAACCTCTAATAAGAACCGCGCCAGGTCGAAAGACAAGAGAACTCCATTGTTTCAAGGCTTCTTCCAATGTTACAGCTTCTGCACCAAGTGCTACTTGATGTTCTAATTTTGGTGCCAGCATTACGAGTTGCATTTCCCCATCCGGTAATTTCTATAAATATCCAGAAAAATTGGACAAAATATATTTCTACAATATTTGTAAAATTGAGGAAGCAAAAACTACATACCTCTACTCCATCTATTTTAGAGCGATATAAAATTTTGTAATCTTTTGGATTATTCTTTAATAATTCACTTTCTGATGCTTCACTGGTACCGATGCTGAACAATTTATAAGATACATTATGTCTTCCTGATGTTGCATCCGGAAATCTTTGTGTTTCGGAATCTACATTCTCAACTTGCTCTTTATTCTTAATATCAATATTTTTGGAAAACTTTGTTGTACTTTCAACATTCGAGTTTGGCTTCGGATTCGGAAGTTCTTGAGATAAATGATCCTCCCTGTTATCAGATTCTTGTTCTGCAAAATCCTCTATCTTTTTTTGTTCCGCGTCAATGACTAGTTCTGTGAAATTATTTAAATTTTCTAACTTAGACACATCTTCTACTAGTAAATCATTTTCAGAAGTTGTACTTTTCCCAAAAACTGTTCCTGCTCTTGAGGTTTGCAAGGAATTAAGCAATTTGTTTTCCAACGTAGATTCGTTTGAACTGCTTCTAACAGAACCATCTAATGAGGTCTTTTGTATCTTGGTTGCATTATTTATATTTTTTCCAAAATCAGATTCAGAGAGCTTTCGTTTTTTTGTGTTCACTTGATCATTTTTTTTTACTTCCATTCTTGAAAGTTCTGTAGATTTTAAACTATCTAAATGATTATCATAATTATTAAGATGTTCTTGATCCTTGGACAATCTATAGGAAAGAAAATTGAAAAGCAAATTTTTGTTAAAGATTGGTACAAATTCATAGAATCATAATATATCATAACTTTACCTAAGAGAAGTTGGATGATTAGGGTGAACGAGATGACTTTTCAAAATATATTTTAATACCCAGGAATTTTTCTGTGGTATTGTACGCATTGTAGGCGGTAATGGCTTATCGATATAAATAGTATTTTTGCCTTTTTTATTTTGTTTTATGACAACCGGTAGAATCCATGTGTTGTTATAGTTTGGCCCAGTATTAATTAATAAACAATTTAATCCACTTGAAGAAATAACTAGATCAACGTCATTAGCTTCTGCCAGCAGTTGACAATTTGGATCTTGGCTTACTGGATTTTTGGAAGACAATGAAGGTTCTATAATATTTTTATCAGTTCTAACGGGATAATTTTGTTCTAATCTTTTATGATTCACATTTAATATATATGATGTAATAAATGTAGGCAAAATTACACGAGGTATAGTTCCCTAAAACAAAATACCGATCAAGTCATCAATTATGGTTTTTCCACATTATGATAAATAGGAAAAATTGATACAAATATCATTGATGTTTACCATTTCTAATAACGTCCTGTCATATCGAATACCGATTTTTTTCTCAGATACAAAAGCCAAATCTCCAGCTTCAATGTAATATTTGGGTAGTTTTTTCAAATTCTCAATCTTACTGTGCCAATGGCAATTAATATAATCTTCGCAAACAATTTTCAAGTTGCTGCCATCCCAATGTTTTTTAGCTACCTGAAGAAACTCTTCTTGTTCTTTATGTATTAAGGATGTTAATTGCTGAAAATAAAAGTCAATAGTTTAATATTTTTTACCTTTCATAACTGCCATTTTCTTAACATCTTACAATATATGTTTCTAATTCCTCTCGGTTTGTTTGAGTGACTTCTGGTTTTTCCGAACCAGAAAACCTCAACAAAACGCGAAGACACAAGGCTTGCTGCTCTTTAGTTAAAAACGATGGCCGTGGAAATTTTATAGGGCATCTAACTATTCCAGGAACATATTTTCTCTTCTTATTTTTCAACTGCAATTCTTCATTCAATGCTGCTGCATTTTGCTGTCTTTTTTGCACATCATTTGCTTTCTTTTTGGACTTTGTACGTTTCTTGGTAGCTTTTTTTACAACTAAAGTTATATTGTTTGAGACTGTATTTGTCCCAGTGTCAATATTTTTAGACACATCATTTATCTTATCATCTGATATTTCAGTATCAGTTTCATCTTCAAATTCTGATTCTGCGAATGGATCCGTGAAACCTCCACGCATAATTTTATACATTACACTTTCTGCTATCATTCTCTCCTCATTGATAAAAACATTATCAAGCATATCTTCCAAAGGAGGATTCCTAAAATATCATATTCCCGTATAAAAAAATATATTTTTAAACAGATGTAAAGTGCATTCAGATAAATGAAGCTGAAATAATTCTGTCTTATTTTATAATAGACAAGATGTGATAGTTTTAGGTTAGGCCATACAAAAATGTCATACCAATCGATATTCATGAATTCTTCCATTTCTATTAATACTGTATATACTTCACGCCAACCCAGTAAACATTAGTTTTTGTAAAATTATATTGTTTCTTTTAAATATCGGATGTTTGCATACGCATATCATAACCTGTTATGATCACTACATATACCACTTCCGTGAAGTTAGTGATTTAAATGAAGTTCAGTAGAAATCACATAACCCTATCAGAAGCAACTAGCTGCTTTTCAATCATGTGGTACGCTCCTGTGGTGGTCCGCTGGTACACACTTTCCAATGACATGGTTCCTCAAACTAATCATGTAACAGGCTACCATGAAATAGACTCAAACTGATTTGTTGAAATCAATGAATTCGTCTACAAAATCAGAAAATGTATCCAATAGTATAATTTACACTGAAAAGGTTATACGCATAAGAATCCTACAAACTGCCATATACACAACATAACATAACGTGGAGGTCAATAAATTCACGCGCATAACATTTTACGAACATAATTATATAATTATATTAATATAATTAACATAAACACATTAATGCAATTTTATATCCTCGAAAATTCTGTGAATGAAACCCTTAACCGTTAGATACTTTTTGACAAGATCTTGTAAATTTCATGGAAGAAAGTTATAGACACAATTAATGGTAACTCAAGATAGAATATCAAGCCGATTTAGAGATAATGAATTATCTTTCAAGCTTCTATAGAGTTAGAGCACTATATTCGGATCAAAGAGCAATTTATTCCGTGTTTTTCAACAATTTGATAGGAATATAATACTGTATATACAAACACATGTGGCGAGATGTACGGGATAAGCTATATGTATATCATTAAATACATTTCAATATATATATTTACAAAACAAATAAATATATTTTTGAAACATGAAAATGGAAAATTATGACACTAATTTTTATATATTTAAAAAGATTTATATCTATCAAGAGCAAGTATACGCTCATGGCAACTAGGTTGGTCATAATAACAGTAAGAATAAAACCAATCTTGAACAGGAAATAAAGAAAAATGGTTGCCAATTTTAGCAATGGCACTTTTTAGAGCCCTATCCTTCTTCAGTCTTTTTACGTATCTATCTGCCGAGAATTCTAGCTGTCTGTTTATGGCTCTCGCCATAAAGTTGCATACCTGCGTAAAAACTCCAAATAAATTCAAGTATTTGCTGAATCATGTCAAGTAATATAGCTTACATCGAAAATTGGGTAAAACTGAAGCAAAACAATGCCTATTATATATGGCTTATCTTCGAAACCGAAAGCTTCATAAATAGGTTTGTAATTCATTACAAATCTCAACGATGCCAGATGAACAACAAGACGTGTCTGCAAATAGAAGAGATGAATATAAATATTTCACTTTTCCATATATTGTAACTAAAGTAAATTAAAAACTAACTTGGTGTACGAGGAATCTAATAAAGGTGTGCCATTGTTTCCAATGAGCAATTTCATGAGCAACCAGAGCCAAAATTTCATCAACAGTCAAGAGTCGACTGGATAATTCTGAATGACGACCATTCCTATGATGACTGACAATGTTATTATAAAGAACGATTATCTTCTGTCCGGGCACACCATGAACAAACACTTTACTATGGTGATTTCCTGAACTCTCAACCAAGAAAATATCGAAAAGAGGAAAATCATTTTCCTCCGTGAAAGCAACTAACTGATTACGAAGCTCGCAGGGTGGTAATGGCTCCAAAATTCGGTGATCAAACAAATCAAAAATAGCTTCAAGCTCGGCAACGCAAAACATATAAAGAAAAATATTATCACCACCCATCTTAAAAACCACTACTAGTAGATATGCAAATGGGAAAATAATTGTTTGTGTAATTATATGACTCAAAACAGCTTCGACCATCGTAACTCTTTCGTTATGTTCATAATCATTATTAAGATAAGATTCGTAAATGGAGAACGGCAGGTTTACCAAAAAATGGCAAGAACTCAAGAGAGTTAGAAATATCGTGGTTCGTAAAGCGTCATGACTTTCGTCGAATCCAAGGTGTATCAGAATTTCAGTAGAGCGCATCCATAGTTTTTTGTAGCTCCGAAACACAATAAATATCTATAAAAATTTGTCATGAAATTTCAAGTAAAAGAAATTAAAAGTTTTGAATACCGTTGTGAGACCAAGATTGGCGGTTTCTTTGAATACATTCAAAACATTTTTATAAAGAGCATAAACTTGATAATTCCGATAATCGTCGTCTCGAATTAATTCTTGAATCTCAACAGGTGCTACCTCATAAGTTTTCAAAATAGAACGCTGTAAGGTTATAATTTTATCTAGGAATAGTAAAAAGATTTTATTGAACCATTAGCAATTAATAACCTGTCGGGATTCTAACAGCTGCCGCCATATATATTTCGTCCATATATAAATTAATACTCCTGTATGCAAATGCTCTTCAATTATCAACATTATATTTAATTAAATTCTAATTATTCTCCTTTCTTTAATTGATTACTATTTGAAATAAAAAATGTCTGACTGCAATGAAACTGCGCACAATCTCCAATCTAGGAATTTTATTTTATACAGTTTCTTCTACGATCGGAAGGTCATCTGTTTATAAATTTCGACTGTATTATTTCTGATCACTTTTGTGCGTGCTTGCAGGTTTTTTCGTTCTCTGACAAATATAAGAGTTCGGTAATAATAAAAAATGGCTCTGTTTCGAGTTTTGCCAGCAAAACTTTCTGGGATGCCCAAAAACGTTTTTCGAAGCGTTCCATCCGTGTCCTATCATCCTAACGTGAGTATTATGTTGCAAATAAAATCAGCTAGTACCATGCCGATGTCGTTTGCGTGATTTTACAAAACACTTTTGACAAGTCCCGTGCTTTTTCTATTGTCATAATATCTGTCTTATAGGTCTTGGACCACTATGAAAATCCTAGAAATGTTGGATCGCTAGATAAAGATGACAAGCAAGTGGGTACTGGTTTGGTTGGTGCACCAGCATGTGGAGATGTTATGAAACTACAGATCAAAGTTGATGAGAATGGAAAAATCATTGATGCGAAGTTTAAAACATTTGGCTGTGGCTCAGCGATTGCTTCAAGTTCTCTTGCTACTGAATGGGTTAAGGGTAAAACTGTAAGTTTCATGGTATTCATAAGATTAGCAGAAAAATAATGTATTCTATTTATATAGGTTGATCAAGCCCTAAAACTGAAAAATACAGACATTGCTAAAGAGCTGTGCCTACCGCCTGTCAAGCTTCATTGTTCAAGTTAGTCATACATATTTTTAATTTCTTATTTCTGACTTATCTTTAATCTTATAATTGCAATTCTTTATTTTTCTTCACAGTGCTTGCAGAGGATGCTATCAAGGCAGCTCTCTCTGACTATCGCATCAAACAGCAGCCAAAGGGAAAGAATATAAATGAGGAGACAGCTGAAGCAAAAACTTAGCCAGTGATATAAATATATAGTGAAACAAAAGTAGTTTCAAGAAATGCTGCACTGTGCACTTTGTAAAATATAATGATTTATATATTTCTTAGAAGTCGTAGGTGCTTGTAACCTAGAGGGTCACGAGTGAGATAAATTATTTGACAAAAGGTATAATCGTAATGGACTGAATTAATAAATGTACTGTATTAGACTGACATTTTTTTTATATGTAATAATGAAGAGATGGTAGATCATAATGTTTCGGCGCCTCGATATATATATATATATATATAATGTATCATTCATTTTGTGTTATAATGTAATTTCTTTCGATTAACAAGTATAAAAGGTTTTTAGTACGGCTTCCATTTTTTCAAAATATCTTACGTGTATAGATAGACAAAGTGACTATAACAACGGAGGCGGTTGTATACCAGTAGTCTATAATCACGACGTCGAAATTCTTTAATTCTACAGTCACATAGGTATCGTATCGTGGCTTCTAAAGTAACGGAGGTATGGTACGCTGTTCTTTTCTTGCTGCGTATTTTCCGACGTTTTCCATCTTCCTTTAAGTGAGGCTAAGCGGCATCGCGCGGCCAAATCAAAGGAATATGGCGGCCTGACAGAAAAATTCGAGTGCTTCGAAGTGGATTATTTTGATTGAAAAGCAGACAATCTATCCAGTAGTGGGTCCTTTAAGAGCGATCATTAATATGTGACATTCAATCTCGATTGGACGATTAGTGTCTTGCTCGCATTTATACGGTTTTATCATCCCGCGGGTACAGGTTTGTATCCCACTACATGCCGATATGTATTTCCTTAATGGATGCAAATGCGTTTTTGACCGTTTGCTTTATTTTCAGGCGTAATATGCACTGATAAACCTGGAACTTTATCAATTACGACAGTAAATTCAAGAATGTCGGCCACCCAAGGAAAAATGCGAGGTGCTTCCTATAAACTAAAAATTAATGTTAAACTTATAAAGTTTATTAGATGCATATAGTACAAAAACTTGCGTCTTATTTCAATTTGTATTCACAAGTATATTTATTTGTTTCCGTGATATATTTTTCTTTCAAAATTATTCTCTGTTATGAATGATATATAACATAAATATAAGAAATAAGTTAACAGTAATGACTTGTTATTGTTAAATCAGGTCCAGGTCGACCACCTAAGTCCAAGAATTCATGTACATGGTGTGGAGAAACTAAGCAACCTTTAAGATATGTCCTTCCAACACAACATGGCAAGAAAGAATTTTGTTCCGAAACATGTGTTCAAGAGTTTCGCAAGGCTTATGTTCGAGGTGCTTGTGTACAATGTGACAATGTTATTAGAGGAACACCTGTCAAATTAGAGCAGCGAGATGGCCCAACAAAAAACTTTTGTTCTTCATTTTGCTTGAATAAACATCAGAAACGAGAAAATCAGGCAGAAACAAAGAAAAGTAAGGCTTATTTCAACAGCATTCTATTTTTTGTATAAGAAAATTATAACATAATTCTTTTTAGATAATGGCGAACAGCCATCACCAGCTGCATCTCCGGCTCCATCAGGTTTACCAAGTGGATCCAGTGCACCATCTACAACACAATCCTTTACAGGGAATAATAACCAGTCTAACAATTCACATCCACCATCAACTTCTACCGGACCATTTCAGTATGAAACTTACCAGACTTTCGACTGGGATTTGTATCTAAAAGAAACAAATAGCTCAGCAGCCCCAGTAGAATGCTTTAAACAGGTATGTTCTTCCACTTGTAAATTAATGAGCCAAAACTACTTATCCTTTATATTACAGCACGAAGTACCACCAACAAATGAATTTAAAATGGGAATGAAATTGGAAGCACTGGATCCACGAAATTTAACGTCAACTTGTATTGCCACTGTCGTTGGAGTACTTGGCCCAAGGTGTGTATCAATTTCTAAATCATAAATACTCATGAAACTTATCAATATCTCGATTATTAGACTTCGACTGAGGCTTGACGGCTCAGACAACAAGAACGACTTTTGGCGTCTGGTGGACAGCAACGAAATCCATCCAATCGGCCACTGCGAAAAGTCCGGCGGAATGCTCCAGCCCCCGCTGGGCTTCCGCATGAACGCTTCCAGCTGGCCGATGTTCCTGCTGAAGACTTTGAACGGCGCCGAAATGGCGCCGGCCAAGGTCTTCAAGCGCGAGCCGAAGACGCCACGGTCGAACATGTTCGAAGTTGGGCACAAGCTCGAGGCAATCGATAAGAAGAATCCTCAATTAATATGTACTGCGACTGTCGGAGCTGTTAAAGATGATATGATTCACATAACATTTGATGGCTGGCGCGGAGCATTTGATTATTGGTGTCGTTACGATGCCCGCGACATTTTTCCGGCTAGTTGGTGCTTCAAAAGTGGTCATCCTCTTCAGCCACCAAGACAAAAGTGTACGTCGAGTAAAATATCATTGATACATTGTAGTTCTCGCTATTTGACGCTTCTTAACTTGATTTTATTTGTTTACAGCAACAGGTCCGAACAGATTTAAATCACGGACGGGCAATGTTTTACCAGTAGTAGCCGTTTCCGGTGGTGGAACTGGAGGAGAACCTGCTGTAGCTTTAGTTAGTCCTGCTGGGTCTAGCGCACCACCTCAACCTGCCACAGAACCTGATACAAGTACAGCCAATAGTAAACCACGTTCCTTGGAAAATGGTAATTATATTTCCTTTATACATTATAAAGATAAGAACTCAAACGGGGAGTCACCATATCTATATGTAACATCTTCTGTGTTTTCAGTCACTATCTATGTGAATCATAATTGCTCCTGCGGGCCGTACTTCGATCCTCGAAAAGTTAAAGCTATGCCAGCCCAATTTGGCACTGGAGCCATTCTTAGTGTTACAAGGGATATTTTCCAGGCACTGTTAATGGCTGCCATGAGTCCCAGACAGATGCTGAGTTTGTTGAAACGTGGAGAAGGCGAGTGTATCAGTCTTACTTTGGAAAGCAAACCTACATCAGTGAGACTACCTGTCTTTGTCGAAGAAGAAGATTTCTACTCTTACATCAGGCGCCAATTGGAAGACCTGTGTGCTTGCGAGTTCATGCTTTCTAGGAGGAAAGAAGCCTGTACCAAATGTCCCAGCACGCCTCAGCTGCAGATAATCAAGAGAGAGGACACTGGTAATACCACGACACAAAAGAGGAGATGGTCCGGTGAGAATCAGCAGAATCCCACAACAACAACTACTAACCCAACTCAGCAGCATCAAGCGGAATCAAGTCCTGCAGCGACAACCACAAACTCAACACCGACATCACCCACGCCAGCGAAACAGGCTAGAAAGTCTGTGCCAGGTCAGCGAATTTACATATAACTTATTCTATTATACGTGTTAGCATATAAATCAACTTAAATCGTTGTATGCATACGCAGTTTTCCATGTGTCACTTATCAAACATCATTTAGTCAAATCTTACAGAGAAATTCTCTTGTGCTGTTATGCTTAGAATTAGAAGCTGCAACATCCACAACTCAATCCGAAAGTCCAGCTCAACGCATATCCTCTACGGAACCTGCAGAGTGGACAATAGAGGATGTCATTCAATACATTGCCATAACAGATCCAGCACTTGGCCAGCATGCAGATCTTTTCAGAAAACACGTCAGTTGTCCTATAAATAACATATAATCCATTCAGTAAACATTAAAAACGAAGAGTATATGTTTTCAATGAATTTCTTTCACAGGAAATCGACGGTAAAGCCCTGCTACTCTTGAACTCTGATATGATGATGAAATACATGGGGTTGAAGTTAGGTCCTGCCTTGAAAATCTGCAATTTGGTTAATCGTATAAAAGGTAGAAGGCATCTGGCACTGTGACCCTTTCAGGCATCCAAGTGCCTTTAAGATGAAATTCTGAGACGTCGTACTTCCTGATCGTGTATTGTATACGAGATCCATCTCGGACAATCTCATCGAACTGCGATTGCGTTTACAGTTGCCAGTTAATACGCATCTTGCTGTTTTTATGAGATTTAAACAAGTATCTTAACAGGATCCTGGATCATTATATATATGTCCATTACTGTTTTTGACTGAGAGTGAGACTTTGCAGAGTGTTAATAAAAGTGTACAGTGCAGACTTAAGCTCTAGTGGAAGAGAGACAAAGCAAGTTTTAAACAAGTGAACTTCTATTTTGAGCACTACCGAATGTACTTTTACTAGTGGAAGAGTTACACTGAAGTGTAGTAAATCCGAGTCAAATTTAAAGCACGATGTCGCGCATCAATGTTTTTATTTTTTATCACGTCGGGTAACGAATTCTAGACGAATGCACCTTAACACTGCTACGTGTCCTAGAGAGTTATCCTCATTACCAAAATCATCCCTCTCTATATACATATTATACATATATTTTTTCTATATATCGAAGGTATATAGTATGGCTATCTTCCTTCTCTGTAGTCCTTTCTAATCAATCGATCACTGATCGCCCTGTAAATAATCGTTGATCCGAGGCTACGTAAAATATAGTATATTTGACGTAAAGTACCGTATATATAAATATATATAAAAGATATATAATATATCTTATTTCTATGTTTTTTTATCATCATTGTGATACAATTATTTCAATTATTTTGAAGGGGTTTTTTTGACTTGTTTTCTTTTAATTTTTTTTTTATTACGAAAGTAATCCTCATCTTTTTTTTCATTATGAAATAAGAATGTCAATATGAGATAGCTCGTCGAGGTACGCTACTAAGGCCAAATATTATCCCATGTAAAGTTTATATTTACGTACCCTTCTCTCCTTTTTCTTTTTACTTGTGAGAAAAATTAAAAATCATGACGCCATCTGTTCCTTAACTAAAAGTGAAAAAAGCAATGACAAAGTGCTTCTGAAAATCGATGACTTAACGGTGCAATTTTGAATTTTCTCCTAATCTCGAAATAATTCTATTGTACCATACTGTCTATAGTATTTGTCTGAATTAGTAGCCTAAGCAAAATATAATACAACTATTACATACTATTGTATTATGAGTCAATGATCGTAGCAATGTACACTGTTCATAGCGTTTTAAAAAATAAAACGTAAATGAGAAATAGTAAATTACAGAAAGACAAGAAGAAGTATAAAGAAGAAACAGAAAATGAATGTAATATATCTGCGATGAATTTGCAATAAGCTGTATTTAAAATAAACTTTGTCTTTATCTTGATCCAAAACGTATAAGAATTACTGAGTGGGAAAATCTAACTATACGAATGAAAAGTCCATAAAAATTATTAATATCCTTTTTATTTATATCTCGCTATATTGCATTGTGAGAATATACATATGCATACCACAATACGATATACTTGCGACTCCAGGGACGTGCCTGACAGATCTTTCAAAAATATAGTAAGTAGACAAAGAAAAGATGAGAGAAAAACGTGGTAAATGTGACAAACAACATAATATACAAATTACGCAGAAATCGGTTCTCGTTATGTGCTACGAATACAATTATGATTATTACCTTTTACGTACGTAACTAATACTAATCGTCATGCTTCCGAATACTTTTCATAGTGTTTAGGTGAAAGATGCTTAAAAGGACTGTACGCCAAGGTAGATACAATTTATACTGACAGATCGGATTCCCTTTCTATGACTATAATTACTTTGTTGTTGTTGCTGTTGTTACAGTTGTCCTTATGTTTCAGCCGGATGTATAAAAAATAATCAAATCGATCACAGCAATTCCTTGAAACCTTCATACGAAAGCAAACGATCAAAAAACATGTAACGGGCATGTTACTCATATTATTACGATACGTTATTACGTATTTCTCCATATATCATTCTTTTTTGTTTTATACAAATCCTACGTCAAGACGTATCCGTCATACTCTGTCACGATTTATTCCTTTCAACGATATAAACCGCCTCGACTTATGCGGGATTGGTTTCGCTCGGCGAGACCTGAGATTGTATTTTTTTTTTTTTTTCCCTATACTTTCGTTTCGCCAACGAAATTTGACAATTTACTAGTTATATATAAATATATATAGCAGTGCTCCGTAAGAGGAATTCACTTAGATTCGAAATTTGTATACGAATCAATACATTCTTATGAAAAAAAACCCCGTCAATTTGAAAATTTTCCCTTCTAATGAGATATAAGAAAACGTGAGTGAGACAAAGTGAAAGATATTGTAAAAGAGAGCATTGAAACAGACATGAAAACATGGCCAAATGAACATTTTCAATTCGTACACGACGAAATTCAAAATATTTTCCTGTTTCGTTTATTCTATTATATAAAATGGGACCGTAAAGTACTAACAGAGGAAATGTTTTTTCTTGTTCTATCACGATACAACGGAAACGATCTTGTTATCACAATCGTATTAACCAGATAGCCAGCCCCTTCTCCTGATTTACATTTATCTCAAGGCGAATCATTCGAAGCAACCGTAACGAGTACCTGATTTTTCTCTTTCTCGAATAAGCCCTCACTCGCAACCCATTTAAATGTAAAATTCATAATTAAAGATTTCTTTTAAAACACGATTTGTGATGAGATCGGCAGAATTTTTCAATTTTCTTTTAACGGGAATGAAGGACAGACTCAGAAGGCGCAACAGCCTTACTTTTACGTGTTTCGTATTTTTCCTGGCACGTAGTTCTTGTCTATTACAGGCTCTTGCAAAAACATATGCAGGCATCGTTCATTTTGAGCTAAAGGATGTCCAGCAATTCTGTAATGCAGAAAAAATGTATAATAAAAATTTCATTGGTAAGAAATTATGTAGAGTATTCAATTTCTTCAATCAATTATGAACAATAGATCATAGGCCAATTAGATACTCACTTGTTCACAAAAAGTTCCAAACCCTTCCTGCGATCCTCTATAAAATCTTCTTCGAATATACCATCATCTCCTCTGAAAGGCATTTGTCGTTTCCATGCTTTCCCTGGTAGAGGTGGTACAACAATCTACAAAATAATGATAGACCATTAACTAAGAAAATACACCAAACTATTATCTATACGTACTATGTCTATAATTATATTAGTATATACTAAACACAGGATATCATAAAATATACTAATACTATTTAACTTGTTTTTTTATTATATAAATTTAAAGACTCACCTTGCTATCTCGTTCCAATTCATTTCTCAACCATTCAAAATCACTATATCGTCTTCGCACACTAGATTCCTTAACTTTGAACACAGGTAAGTTAGTCTGAAACAGATTGTAGTAATGGTCTTAGTTTTACAATCATTAGGATTTATTAATGAAGGTCAAGTATTCACTGCTGTGTTCAGAAGCCACATGACTGCTATTACTCTTATAACGTCTGTCCATGTGCCAGCAGCTTCGTTTAGAAAATATAAAACTGATTCTACACATATATATACACCCTAATAATATTCATCTTCTTTACTAGCAATATTGTATGCAAACAATAGTAAATTCTTATTTGACACTGTTCCAATAACAATGTTCTAAAAGATATACATAGGAATTATATTTATACTGAATTATAAATTTTGCCGAAAAAAGTGACTAACAGAGGTGTAATTTAAGTACTATAATGATCTGTCACTGATGAAGAGTCATTATGTTAAACAAAGTAATGATTATAAGTAAAGAAATAGATTTAATCTAGTTCGTGCCAAATTCTCCTTTGAAAAATTTAAATCATATAATAAAACAATGGCAATTTCCAAAATGTCATAGTGAAAAACGGATAAAGGAAATTTCAAAAGAGATTTTTGAATAAATTACGCTATACTTCTGCAATGATTCTCATTCACCATGAGATAAGCAATGATATCCTCGTAAATTCCAGTTATTCTAAAGTATCACCAATAACTAGGTATTTCCGAGAAAAATTGAGAGATTCTAGAAAAGTTCATGGCATAATGGAAAGAGTTGAGTAATCGACCTACCCTCATGCGGACTTCATAATCGGTATAACGTTTCTTGCCAACCCCGTGAGTGATTGGGTTGATCACGTCGATCTCAAGGAAATTGGCAGGCGCTGCGTAGGCGTCATCCAGGGTTTGTTTTTTGACATTAAGGCGTCGTGTAGCATCCACTGTCGTATCCGCCATTATTTCGGTTCACAATTCAGACGATCCACCTACTATGAAGACTTGATAAAAAATGATAACAGGAATCCGGCAAGTGACACCGCACGGCTTGACACATTTGTACTACAGCGCAGTTCTACTACGCAGCTAGGCAGGCGTCACATCTAATATGGCGCCGCGCATTCGTTTACCTTGTCAATATGATTGGTCGGCAAGATACAAAAGTGTGCCTAATCCGTCTGATCACTCTACGAACACGCCATTTTAAATTCTGAACTCTCCTTTGGGATTTTTTATCGTGTTTCACTGTTAATATATAATTATAAGCCTTGAATTGCCTCCCTATATAGCACTTGATATGTCTATCAAATTACCGAAATCCGCTATGAGCCTGAAACAGGTTAATCTCTTTTTTAGGAAACCTGAATTACTTTTATAATACGACGTAACCTATATGACGAACAATTGCAGTTTATGGTCTATCAAGATGTGCTGAAGCTCTACAGAAATATTATGAGAAGTATAAGACAAGTTCCTGACAAAACAGACAGAGAATATTTGCGGGACTGGGCCAGAAGAGACTTTAGAGCTAACAGAAACGTTACTGACGAAGTGAGTACTTGCCGGAGTGATAGACGTCGCATACTAACTTATGCCACTATCTCATTTTACAGTTTGCCATCAAATCCCTGATAGTGCACGGAGAGAATTCGCTGCGTGAGCTCAGAAGAAATCTCAAGTTGACCAAGTGATGTTAAGTTCCTCTTTTTTTTAGACAATACAAAAAGGCCACTTTGTAAATGATACATTATATGAAATATATACACATAGTCTTGTAAACTATAGTAATTTATTTACAAGCGCGTATACAAGACTCACGCCGAGTAGCACAGTACCGGCACATGTTATCGTTAGGGCGATTGCGTGTCGTACACTTTTGTGACGTACTCTTGAACGCAAGAGATATTGTGTCAAAGTGGTCGTAATATTCTGTCCATCGGAATAAAAACAGGGCACGACGTTCACAATCGCCAATCCAGCTGAGAAGACAGTTATATACTTGCATAGCAATGCCAAAGATTCCGGTAGTTCTGAACTCAGGAAAGAATATTTTGGAATCCAATCGGATACATCAACCGTTCGCGAAATATCTCCTGGATAGCCAAAGAATAGTACATCCTTTCCGTTTCTTCTTTTTATCTGTACTACCTATAAGCAAAAGAATGAGTCATTGTAAATGCTCCATCTTGAGGTAGTTTTTTGGCGGTATAATTTTTTCTATATTACTTTAGTGATATTGTCTAAAGACGGCCTCATGCAATGCGTGTCACGTGGTGTACAATGGAAATTCATTTGACAGAATCGTTGTGAACCTTCCACTATTACACGTGCAGGGAGGCAAGAATGGAGTGGCAGTTGTAATGGTGCAGCTTGTGGTCCTTCTATGTATTCGAAACACAAACTCCCACGAACTTCACTATCAGCACTGCAGCAATTAATGGCACTGTTGGACGTCTGTCTTGCCGGAACGGTTTCATCGTGTTCCTATGAGGGTTTTAACGTAATATCATTTACCAGAAAAATTATTAAGTATTTGAAATGTTACCTGAATAAGATATTGCGCGATACAGTATCCAGGTGTCGGTTGCCGAATAGCTTCCAAAATGCAATTGTACCAATCATTTCCATCCTCTATAGAACAATGATTTAGCTGATATATCGTGTCTTGGTGTAGAAGACCTGATGGTCCCAGAAGAGGCGAATTCTGTTCATAGAACAGACTGTTCAACTTCCCAGAATATACTAGATGAAGGAATTAACATAGAACAAAGTAATACTATGTCTAAATAACAAAGATGATCACAGATTGTTACTCATGACAAAGTATTACAATAACGATGAAGAAGAAAGATCAGGAATACATTCAGAAACTTTAATAAAGTGTAATCTGGTATCGTTGTATGTTTCTCGTAATAATGCTGGTAAAGAAAGATGTAATGTGATAAAATTATCCAGAGTAAGGTTTCTGAATGCACCTCAGTAAATGAAATAATGAATATGATAATCTAGTAACTTACAGGTGATATAGCCTTTACTGAAACACCTTGACCAACTGTGAATAATGGGGACCACAGAAACGTAGTCAATATCAACGTTATAGCTGCTCCAATAGCTAATACAATGTTGTGCCAAATTCCAGCACACAGAACTCTTAGCTGGTTACGTACTGGTAAAGTAGCAAGTTGTTCTGAGCTAATATATGTAAAAGCAAATGGGATGATGAAAGCTACTTGTAAGCCCAATCCAAATAGTTGAACATCCTCTCTAGCAGCAGCCAATGCATGTCCCAGTTCATGGACAATACTACATACAGCAAATGTAATCGCATAATAACCAATTTCATTAAGTGGTAAATTTACACCAGGTAGCTGCATAGTAAAAAAAAAACAAATAATAATTATCCATTGTGATAAGTATAATAAATAAAAGAATGACAATCAATACCATTGGTTCCAATACATGAACCGATTCAGATCCAGATGAACCATTGAACCAAGCATCTATTGTTGTTTTAACCACAAGAAACAAAGCAACAGGAAGAAGAATAATGCTTATTATTACACCAGCATTAAACCAAGCAGACCAAAATCTTGATCGCTCCATTCCCCATCGTACTATAGTTCGATTAAAAGCAGTTGTAAACCATTTTACTCGCAGGACTTGAATCTCCAAGCCTGTATTCTTCAGAAAATATAAGTAAGGGTAATGAGAGCACGACTGAAATAGAATCGGACACATTATTGATACTAGCTTACATTATACCGGTAATACGATCATAATATACTAAAAAAAGAATTATTTCTCACCCTAAAAAATGTATCAAAGAAGAATAATGAACAGTGAATAAGACCAATAGCTATTAGAACGTTCAGACCATCCATGTTTAAGATCTCTATAAAACGTAAAGGGCAAATTTCCAAACAAACATGAAAAGTATCTATTTACAAAAAGTATTCTTGTCGTTGGGTTATGTTATGTTATATGCACTGCAGACTTAAAAACATCTTTAATTCATCTGCTAGACACGGGGAGCGCCAGTTGCGTGATGAGATATTTTAATAAAAACTTTAACCTTTTTATAAAGATAAATTACAGCGTACATATTAATAAGTTTCATAATTGCTTGTAGGTATATTACTAATTTTTTTAATTATTAAAGAATAAATAAATTAATGTTAATCAATTTTAATAAAATAAGATATTCATTTTTAAACGTTTAACTCCCATGTGGTCTAGTGGCTAGGATAGCTGGCTTTCACCCAGCAGGCCCGGGTTCGATTCCCGGCATGGGAAGTTTTTATAAATATTGATTTTCTTATTATTATTTTGATTTTATATTAATTTATTATTCATTTTGATTATTGGAAAGTTGATCAAAACCTTTCATTCTTATTTGCATTTACTAAAAAATTGTTAATTGCAAAAAATGAATCTATACCAATCGGTTGAATTTCTAGTACTTTATATAAACTTACAACATAAAAAATAAAACTACTTTCTAACTATCATATAACGTTCCCGTACCTTTTCTTAATTTATGATCTCTTTCATGTATGCCATATAAGATAAGAATATTCGAGAGAATAGTCAAATTCAATTCCATCCGGGTCATTCGATGCCCCACCAAGAAGAATTGCACATGACTCAAAATTAGGTTTACCAGGAGGAACGTTTCGTCAACAAAGTGAAGAAACGACCTAAAAAGAAATTGAGAAAAAACATATAAAAACAGAAAAAGGGAAAAGGAGCGCCAGCGAGTATAAGAGCAAAGAAGTAAACGATGATGGGCAGAAGGACAGTCAGGCACATGAGCGAGGGAGAGAAGGCTGCTTGGGATATCAAGACAGGCAGAGAAGGCAACAAAATCAAAGGTGGGGATTCGAAGCTTAGCACACTCCAGTCGTAATCTGAAATCAGCGTGGGCAGCAGGCGGCCTGGCAGTTTCACTACACATAACAGAAGATTCACGCGCGTATTAATTCACGCAATTCCCGTAGCTGTTACCATATGGAAAGCGTGAATTGATTATCCCAGTGAACGATCGTTGCATTTGTATTCCCATTGTGACAACTCCGATGAACATTCGTGGCATTGAACGTCCATGCAGCCTTGGGAGAGAGCAGCTGCCGGTGAGAATGCTAAGCACCAGGAGACCAATCCGTTTCTGGTCCTTCTACCAGTGGCTCTGGGCCTTTTGGCGATGTGGAGCGTTAACAGGGTCTGGTGGTTCAACGGTGGCCAGGGTAACACAGGGATTCCTAGCACAGCTGTAAGCAGAAGACGCAGATGGCGACCTCTTGCTTATCCTAGACGACCTCCGACCCTAACTTGCCTGAACAGGGATCTCGAGGAGGTCGGGAGCCATGAAACTTCCACCAAGAAGGTATAACTACAAGGTCAGGTTTTTAGGGATGAAGTATATTGAAAATATGTTGATAAATAAAGCATTAGAAAAATTGGATTAATATTGGATTTGTTTGAACAAATTTGTTATTCAATTTGCAAAAATTAGGTACTTTGATAAATAATTTAATTGGAAAAACTTCAAAGGAACTTGTTTGTTTGTATCGTAGGGTTATAACAATTCTCTTTACAGAGTTTTGATATTGTGTCTCACTCCATACAGCACAAAACATTCAGATTTATTTTTGAAATATTACTGAAACATATCAATCTGCTTATTACGTTTCAGCAATGTTTCAAAACCCAAATAAATTGTTTGTGCTGTATGGGACGTTTATATCAGAAAGGGCACTTTACGAGTTTTCATTATAACATCTGTACAATTCTGTAGGATATTTATGAACGCTGACTGTACGGCTGTTAAGAGATTTAATGAATTGAATATTAATTTGGCCTACTCTACGTCTTTTTAAACAGTAAATTCGTTATACTATTCGTTAGAATGCTCTCTACTCATGTTTTAATATTTCGTGTATTCGATTCAACTAAATTTTTAGCTTACATCAACTCTCATCTCCGTGAAAGAATTGTATATAAGAAAAAATTTGTTTACATTTTCTTTTAAAAATTAGACATGGCAGATGGAAAAACACTAGCAGAATACGTACACATATACATATGGAGAGCAACTGATTAAGCTATTGACTGTACAACATGGCACGTGATAAGATACAAAGCGTGAAAGCTACTTCCGGTTACCATACAAAACTATTGTTAGCTAAATAAGAAGTAAAGTTGACTGATTCTTTGGTAAATAAGACACCAACAAAAATTATGAGCTGATCAATCACATGAAGTCATTCAATGGCACTGCTTTTTCTTAATTATTTTCAACGATACAAAACATTTTCAAACTTAACTGAGAATTTCATGAAGAACACGTATAATCTCGTAAATTGATGTTGTTAGGTAGGCGTTATGTGTAAACGATATTGTAAGCTGATTTTCATCGCTTACACAATATACTCTGCTTATAGAAAACTATAGAGTAGCATAACTGCACAGAAAGTAATTTTAGCTAAGATAAATCTTATGGGTTAGTATGAAAAACATTTCGAAAACTTTTTCACGCTCCATAAATGACCATGAGCCGGATACCCAACAATGCGTCTGTATATACAGGATGTCCCAGTTTTAATGAATCATTACAATATCTTACAAACCAAAGGTTTAATCGAAAATAGTTTCTTATAAAAATGGCATGGTTTCGAGGGGAAAACGTGGGAAAATATAAGGGAAAATGTAGTATTCAGAATGGCGATGTTACAGCAAGAAAAGCTTTTTTAAAAATATAATCATACATTTTATTCCTTTTTTTTGTTCCTCGATTAAAATCTGTAACTTTTAGAGGAATCATTTGTCGACTATCTCAAAGGTTAATACACTGTTTCCCTCAATTGAAAGGCTAAATTCAATTTCCAATATCCCAGTACAATTGTGCGATATGAGAATCTACGATTTGATACAAACTCATTCCTTTCTCAAAAGTATTTGCATTCTGTGTTGAAAATGAAGCGGAGAAGAGACGTTGAGTCACCCGGTGCATCGTAGGTATCGCTAAAAAATTTCTGTGAGTTAACGTCTCTTTGTTTTATTTTCAGCACATTACTTTTCAGCATATACTTTTGGGGGGAAAAATGAGTTTATATAAGATCGTAGGTACTCGTACCGCACAGTTGCACTGGATATTGGATATTGAATTTAACGTTCCAATTGAGGGAAACAGTGTTAACCTTTGAGTTAGCGGAAAAGTGGTTCCTTGAAAAGTTATAGGTTTTTTAATCAAGGAACTTGCAAAAAAAATAAATGATTCTATTTTAAAATAATCATTTCTTGCTGTAAAGTCACCATTCTAAATACTACATTTGCCCCTAAATTTTAGCCATATTCCTCCCTTGAAACCGTGCTGAAATTTGATGGACCAAAATAGGCACGGTTCGTAAAGTTTCAAAAGATGAAAGAGTTTACGCTGTGTCAATTTTGTATGTATAGCCGTATACCCGTATATAAATGAATAAGATACAGGCATCTTGTTTGTATATGTATAAATTTCTTGTAATTGAAAAGTTTTGATCTATTAAGTTGGCATGTCTGATAACACGAATTTGTCAGTTTGTTGAAACAGCTGATCGATGTTGAGCTTTTTCGTAATGTACAAGAGAGCGTGTAATAGGTATTACGGAGACATTGATTAATCGATTCTCATTACTAAAATTTACAGTGTTTAAATTTTTGTTTCAAGTAATTACAGTGATTACTTAGGTAAATTAACTGGTTTTTTTCTAACTATTCCGTCAATATTTTTTCGGAGTGTGTATCATGTCTGTCGTAACCTATTACGTAAATACTGTGAAGTTAAATGATTTTGTTCTGTTTGTATGAAACGTATTTTCAGATTTCTTAAAGCAATATATAAATATTAGTGAACTTTTTTATAGTAAAATTTATTATTGTAAAATTCCAATATAATGCACTGTTCCAGTCCATTGATATTTATGTAATATTATAACATAGATTATAATGGATAATTACATAACTAATTAATTCACTATACAGGTGACTTCAACAGATACCAAAGAAAGCACAATGCCAGGGGGCCGCCGGAACCCTGGAGGCAGAGGTAACTCTGGAGCTCGAATACAATCAGGTGCAAGCAATAATTCATCAGGAAATGGTAGCGCACCCAGCAATTTGACAACAGGGGTCACTGAAGAAAAGAAATCCGGAGAATCGATTGGCAGTCGACCATTAGCCCCAAAACATGTTCCTATTCCTTCAGTTCCAGTAGACAGCCAATTGATGTTCGAGGCTTTGTCTTTGGCAGTCTCTGCGATAGCAGCTTCTCTTCAACTTCTTAATTTGTATAGGACAGTTTGGTGGTTGCCACAATCATACAATGAATATACAATGGTATTGTATTAAAAAATTATATTTTAAAACTGATTCTGTCTATACTTACTACTGAAAAAGAAATTTTCTTACAGAATTTTTATCTTGTGGACCCATACCTGCTCATATTCATTGCAACGATGCTTGCAAGGCGACTAATTTATGCACTGTTGCGCAGAATGATAGATACTGTCTCACCTGCCCGTTGGTTGCCTGCTGCACAAAGAATAATGAGGTTGCCATTATATTGTAATAAGTACTTAAGAATAATATAATTCATAAATACATACAGCAGGAATGACCTGCTTTTATTGTATTTTCAGGATATTTCTACTCGTGATTGTGATTGGAGTACTTTCTTGGTGTTTATATTACATGAGCGAACGACACAACACGATGAAGGTCTTCTATTTCTGCTATCCGTTCGTATTTTTTTTAAATATAGTTAAATATAGGAAAATCACCTGACATAATGAAGTATCCACGTGTTTTGGTTGTAATTACCACCTCTCGTCAGATTTATCCCATTACTTCCAGAAGTATTTCTGTCTACTTCCTGATGTTTGGTGTGAGCATTGGACCATTCTTCGACATTTCAACAGTGCCGCTTTATGTGAAGGAAGATCGCAAAACAAAATTCCTGCTCGGTAACGCCGTTGAAAGTTATCAACCACCTTGATGTTCCTGACAGCTTGTAAAAGTTGATGAAGAATTTTTCATCCACGTACAGACAAGCCCTTGCACAACTGTTCTCTGAGTGCACCTGCCATCCGAGCTGAAGTGTCCAGCCTACGCTCGGACTTCAATCGCAGACTGAAACGTGCCTTATTCGCATCTTCGGGCACAGCTTACGTCTGCGGAATTGCACCAGTCATCTTTGTGCCGCCTCACCTACACTTTAATGTCACCTGGGTCGTACAACATATCGTGCTCTTCTGGCTTGGAAGGCTAAGCGCCCATTTTGCTCAGGCGTACCCGGTAAGGTAAGAACTATCAAATACATTCATCAGATCATTAATCATCTCAATTTCATGTATTCAAAATCAATGTAATTATTGAAAACTGAATTTCTTTAGGTACTGTGATGTTCTTCATCGTGCTGCACTTCATTTAGGGAAATGGACCAAAGTTGAGGGCCGCAACAACCACATCCCTACGCAAATGTGGAATGATTCAATTCTCTGGCCTCATGGTTCCTTGGTAAAACATAATAAAGAACTGTACCGTTCTGAAGGACTTTGTACTGCAGCTGAACCAGGAAACTCGAGTCATCATAGATTTCATGTAAGATACGAGTGTAAATCAAATAAATTTAGAAACAAACAAGTCTTTTGTCTGACAGTTTGATATGTTTCAGGCTTTATTTAGCAATCCTACTATGCTAATCTGCACCCTCCTGGGATTTCAGCTTCTATTGGTTGCTGTACAGTTGATTATTTTATTAAGGACTATCGAGTGGTACCAGATACTCTCGATGACGCTTCTTTTGGTTACGAATTATTACACTCTCTTCAAGTTAGCCAGAGATTATCTGGTGTGTTGGAAGGTTTACAGGGCCGAACAGATTTTCCAGGAGAAAGCTCAGGCTTCCATAAATAGCGCTGCACAATAGACTGTTGAAAACTCTTTAGCTTGTAAGTATAACTTTGTAGTGTTTTTGATCTTTTTCTACTGCAAAATAAATTATTTCCTATGGATGTCATTGGTATTACTCATTACTTGCCTTTAGGATTTCAGTGAATTTTATACTTTTATTTCAATATATTTTCTCAAAATTATAAAAAATATAGAGACAATAACAAATACATTCTAATAATATATTATTTGGGAATGGTAATCATTTCATGGTGTTAGTTATACCTAACCACATTGAAATATAATCATAATAAATACTATCCGATGTTGTATCGTGTCTATGAAGTAAAACTTTCACGCAAAGTTTTACGTAAATCTTACAAAGTTTAAAAATAATAATGCATTCTATGAATCACATATAAATATAAAAATATTTGATTATAAAATGGCATGACAATTTGTACAAAAAATTTATTTTTAAAAATTTTCTTGTCATGTGATAAAAAATATGAATATAAAATAAATGCAAATGTAATAAATTAAGTCAACAAATTACAAAAAAATTCGCCAATGTAAGCACGTGAAAATAATTGTTTCTTATATACAAATATTATTAGAATATCTTACAATATACTTCAATTAATTATTCAATTTCGCATAGAAATGAAATTCTAATGGATATTTACACTCCCAAACAAATAAGTAGCAGAATGGAGTTTGCACGAGTTTAAATTGTAAAGTAAAAGCTGTTTGCTATTACAAATTTTAGAACGTGCTGATTGAGAAATTTGAGAATCAAAGAGATATCACTAATCTAAAATTTTCGTAAAAGATTACCAACATTTTCTTACAACTTTAACAATACCTCACTAATCTTCGATTCGTCATGTTGTCATCTGAAAAGATTTTTTCATTCGAATGGGTTAACGTACTACATTTAATGGTATTGTCATATTTCGAGGCAACCGAGCTGTCAATGATTCTGCCAAATTTTGTGGAAGTTCGTGCCATACATATTTTCCAATGATAGGAACTTCTTCTAATGGCGGTCTGAATGATACTAAAAGTGTGAAACAGAGTCCGTCTCCACCTTCACCGCCGCTAAATTCCACGGAGAATAAACCGTGCGGCCTGTGTTGCGCAACATTGTCTCCAAAAATTTCCTAATTGAAAAAGAAATCAAAATAATATAACCATTGGCCTTCTTAGCTTGACAATTAGTTATCACAGATTCGCACTTACCACCATGAATTTGTGTAGTGTCGAGTGAAGATTACGGTTTGGATTTATTTCACATATCGGCAAGTGAAGTGCAGTCTTTTCAGAAATCAAAACATGTAATCTATTCCTGTAATATAGGAAGCTTTTATATAATCAAGTATTAAGGCATGAAGTGATTGTGCATATATAAAATATTACTCACGTAGCTTTTTTTTTAATACAAACAATGAGCCGTAAGTACAGTTTTGTTCTAGGTTTGGTCATTGGTAATAAACAAGGATGCCATGGTGCAGCAATACCTGTTAAATAGTCTCGGCCTCTCTGAATCAATGGAATGATGTCATTTGACCTCAATGAGAGATCTTCAACGTTATTAACCCAACAAGCTTGTAAAGATTCACTGTTAGCTTGTTCCGGAGTCTTTAAAGTTCCTCCAGTTACATGTCCAGTCATAACAAACCGGAACCAAGAACCACTTGCACATTCAACCATTATTAGAGATGTTGGCTCCATTATTAATCCTGTCTCCTCTAAAACTTCACGCTTTACAGCATCTACAAGGTTTTCATTCGGTTCTACCCGACCTGCAGGTAGGTACCATTTCCCTGCACAGGAAGCCTTTGCTTCCTGCATCATTAATACTTCATGATTATTATTAAAGAGTACTGCAGCTACCACATAAGTTACTGTCTTATGGCAGATAGGAATGTAGGTTGAACTGGCAGTAGGCTGGATTCCTTTCGCCTCTAGGAGAAAAAAGAAAAAAAAACTGGAAAGTCTCACATAACTATATAGAAATATCATAGACTCTACCATACTGTCATACTATGGTTACATTGCCAAGCATTCCAATGTCAATATAATATATGACAAATCACATAGTCTGTGAAAAGACAAAATGCAATATAATTGTACAGATTATTTAAAAATATTGCAAACAAATATTAGAATAGCATGTAGCATTCTTATGCTTGAGAGACTACAGAAAGAATTCAAATACAGTTATAAGTAATGACACACGATATGAGTAATGCTATTTTGTGGTCTGAGAAAGAATTATTACTTTATAAATTATAATTTCGTTAAATTATAGTTAATGAAAAATAAAATAAATAGAGATATTAAATAATTACCGATAGCTTCGTTTTGCTGAGCTAAAGTGAAATCACAAAGCTCGTCGCTGTCGCTTAAAATTTGCCCATCCAGGACCAGGCGAATTTTATCTTCGATAGCGTCTGGCATCTTGTCTGCCTTTTTATCTAAGTTCTTAGTTGCAGTCGACCGGTCTTTCCTATGCAATTACAGTTATGAACCATCCATGACTGTTGCGATACTTCGTCACACACACCCCCCCCCCCCCCCGGCCCCC